ATTATTGGATATTATATTATTGTGGAGTTATTTTTTTGATTTGTAGCTGGTGGTGTAATCCTGTAAGGCTATAGATGAATAATATTTTTGGAGTTTAATTTAATCCCTAAAAGGTACTGCAAGTACCTACTGTAGATAATTTATTGTAGATAAATAATTCAGACTTTTTTTAAAATTATGTAAATACTTCATTGGTACGGGGAGGGGGTGCTTTAAAAAAATACGACCTTTGGCTTATAGGGCTTTTTTTGGTTCATTAAGGTAGCGCCAGTTATTGACTAGACTGCCGCTGCGGATGAAGTCTAGTCACGCCTATGATACAAATAAACACAAAAATGATTAATAATCATAATAGTTGGTGACAACCTTTTAATGAGTACATTACAAAAATGTCGTTTAAAGCAGCTTGGCGATATTTAGGCGGTAGCGAACTCAAATAGGTTGTGACTATTGTCACTTGTGAACCGCTGTTCTATACAACCAATAATATAATAATAATATTTATATTATTTTTTGAATTACAAGAAAATATAAAATATACCACGTAAATAGATGCATTTTTTATGAATAGGTACATAGTACATACGTCTTAAATGTGTTAGGTTAGGTATAGTCAAGTTCACAGTAACATAAAATTAATATAATATTATAACATAATAATGATAGATTTTTATTCTTCGATTATCCTTATAACTTAAAAGGTATCACAGGGGGGGGGGGGGGTAAAAATTAATATCAAACTGAGGATCACTCGAAATTTTCACCAAATATTTATGCATGCAATTACTAAACATAACATAGGATATTTTTAGGTAATTATAATTTACTATATATTTTCGATTTTTTTAGTATTTTTACGATATTATACCCATTCACCCAACATATCACCTTTTTTTAAACGATGTTACACTATAATATAATGATCAGGTTCAGTTTGGCAATGAATAACACTGTATGGGTACTATAATAATAATAATAATAATAATAATAATATGAGAACGAACAACAGATTTTCCCCGAACGTTGTTTAGTCGGCCGGAGTATGAAAAGTTTCATTGAAAACAGTACGTTACCTGCCCTCTAGTCGTCAAATAGAGCGCGATACCAGTTCACCGCGGCCGTGACCGTCAAGCACCGGTTCACTTTCTGTAGGTAGCAACTTTAGGACCCCGGTTCCAGCGAGGTTCGAAATCCTGGTTTACCAGAAAGCGGAATACGCTGGAACTTAGCAGGAATTAGCCTGCCTATACCTAAATGGTAGTATACTAATAATATATGGTATATGGTACTCGGCAGTGGTTGACCACGATATTTTCTGTTTGTTGATATTGGAAAAACTGTCACCAACGAGGGCTATATTAATTATTAGCCGAATCCCATGTCCGATTTACAAGTTCACAACGGTTCTCGGTCAGGCTGTTTTTGCTAGTGCGTACCTATATTATACTCTAATGTTGGCGATTAGTGCGACGACTTTTTTAATCCTTGCCAAACCATAAACGATTGCTTGTACGTTTATTTGCGAGCCTTACACATCAGCTCCTGTTTTCCGAGGATGGTGAGAGCTAGGTGGCGCTTCAAGGTAAGATGTACATTTGTATATATTATTTAGTCAACTGTGAACTGTTTAAAATGTCTCCTTGTATAGAAATAGAGCAAATACTGCAGTTTTATACATGCACTTATGATATCGATATTTATGATTTTTTTTGTGCTTACAAATTATAATGTGTGTTTATAAATTTGTACAACCTTGGTAAAATAACCGCGTAACACGCCTTACTGTACTCATAACAGTTTTCAGCATAACATATAATTTATAAATATGTTTTCTTATTGACTATCTATTGCACGTTTTCAACGGTTCGTTTTTGTTTAACGCATTTATATAATATTATAATGAATTCATCTAATCATGTATCATGTATTCATATGAGTGCACTTAAGTATTTAATACCTACAGAGAAAAAACTTGGTGAAATAATTGTGTTTGGTGTCGTTAAACGATTTTTTATCTGACTTTTATAATGGGTGTTTATTGTTATAAGTTATAATACAATATTTCAAACATTTTACAGAAATATTAAATTACTATAGGTAGATACTACTTTCGTGTTTCATGTATTATTATGTACTATTTATTATGCATTATGTAGTGAGTGTTGTGCAGGACACTATACCACGTTACGATATTTAAACTAAAAATAATGTTCTTTCCTCTAAAGATTTAAGGTATTTTATTGTAGGTAGAGCATTGATTATTAATACTATAGATAGATCACTACTGTACGAAAACTGTGAGCTGAATGTACTAGCGATCTATTAGTATATAATCAATGGTATTAAGTTGTTAAATAAATATTAATCGTAATTGCGAGGAACATAAATTGTATTCCATTTAGTATATTATTAATTTATTCGCATAATGCTATTTTCCAAATATTTACACTAATTTTAAGCTATTTTTACTCCGAGTCCTCTGATTTACAGTGTACTGCTGTACGTTTACATTGACTTATAAGTTGATAATAATAAAATATAATATTATTATTATTATTTTATAATAGATTATGCAATGTTTTTGTCAGTCGTCAGGTATAATTTCAACTAACCATACTACTAATTAAATAAATATATATTATATTTATTATATCCATATAAATAGAGACACAATGTCTCGGCTCAGCATCGATTTTTGCATGGATTGATTTTTCATATTGAATTTTAACACAACACATTCATTACAGTGACCTACTCGATGACGAGGTTCACTAGTACACTACTGTACACTTTTATATGGCAGACCACTTTCCGTCATTTTTTTAAAAACTCAAAATTATTAATATTATTATACAATTTAAGTTATTATATTATTTACACCCATGTTTATTTATCAATTACATATTTCACCTTTACCTAGTCAGATTAGCTAGGTTATATCTGCGGTCTGAATGAAAACTTTTGAAAAATATCCATTATCAATTACAAAATTGAAAATATTGCTACTTTGTTGCTGTACAATGCATGCATACGATTTCAAACACCTACTACAGACTGGACTTGAAGCACACACTAATTCACAGTAAACTTGCACTCATTAATATTCATTTAAAAGTACAAGTCGAATTTCTACAGTCCTTTTTATAAGATAAAAGTATGATTTTTTATTTTTATTAAGTGCCTAAAACTTATACATTAATCGATTTGCTTATTGTCACCTAATTAGTATTTTAGTTTCTCCTCCGACTTAAATTCGCAATACTAAGTACACTGTACAAATAATGAAAATAATAATAGCTTATAATTTTTACGCATTACAAGTTTTCAAAATTCTCACTGGAAATATTAGGATTAGATATTTATATTTAATAAAAAATCCTTATCACAATTTTAAATTTTTAATCTCTATATTTATCATTATCAACATTGTCATCATCAATCATTATTATACAATTGTTATACTGTAGGTGTATATCGTATATGTATGTGAGTGTGTAAGTGTATACGTGTGTGTTTGTGACTGTATGTTACGCATCGTCACGTGATTATTTCTTTTGTTTACACTGAAAAATATGTGTCTTATGTGTATTACATATCATAATATAGTATATCGCAGTATGCAGTCGTGTTTTACATCCATACATATTCAACATAATGTTATTAAACTTCTATTTTAAATAAATAAATAATTAATACGACTCGGTTTTTATAGGAACAATATAGGCTTTTCATTTTCAGTGCTCGAAATAACCAACAGTTCTGCACCGAAACGCTTTACATACATAGGGTATATCACGAAGTTTTGACATATCACATATGATATATAACATGTCCGAACTTCATGATACACTCTGTATAACTAAAAATAAAAATGAGTTTATAAAAAAAAGCTTGAGTTCTAAACCAAATACCTAACTCATTAGTTTTAGTAATTATTATTCAAAAAGTTTTATTAAATATTAGGTAGGTTCATAGTTTTGTAAAACAAATGTAAATGAATTCTTTTTAAAATAAAAACAGTGAAATTGAATTCAATATTCTATGACGATATTAATTTTTCGTAATTATGATACTCACTATTCGTTATGATTAAATTATTTAATTTTCAGATTAAAGAAAACAAATTAATAGTAAAACACACATTTATAAGAAACAAAAAATGTATAAATAATATTATTATTAATAATTCAGAACTTAATGACTTTTTATGATACGCCAAAACAGCATTCCGGAGCGGATAGGTGTTTTTTTCGAGCACTGATTATTTTGTCTTACTTCAAAAATCAGTATCGTTATATTTGTTTTGTAAAATGTTTTAATTAATTACAACACCGTTTAACGAAACAGATAGAAAGAGAGCAAATCCGTGTCGCAACTTACATGTTACAACAAAACAATAGTATAACTAATTTAACAATTAAAAATTATTCTATAATATTAATAGTAATATATATATTTATATATACATAGACATGATTATTAACTTAATTATATATATATGTATATATATAATTATTATTATCATCGTTTAATATTTTTATTGTCTGCTGCCAATTAAATTTATAGGAAAAGAGCATTCGTTAGTGCGGCGGTGTTGGTATATTAATTATTTTAAATAATTTAAATATTAATTATAATACACACACTTATTATTATTATACATATTATATTTATCTATATTTTATACGCGTCTATATTTTACATTTGTTGACCAGCAGTCTTGTATTTTAGTTCAAAATGAACATTATTAATAACATAATAAATTTCTAATAATAGTAGTATATTTTTTAATACCAACAAAGCCAACACTTCAACAATTTGCAAGATTATATAGATTTATAATAATTATTATAATATATTATTATCGTTTGTTGAATACACCCTGCACAGCTGATTATCTAATTTATTAGTAATTCAATCAAAAAAAAAAAATAATAATAATAAAATAAATAAATAAATAAATAAATAAATAATAATAATAATAATAATAATAATAATAATAATAATAATAATAATAATGATAATAATAATAAAACTTATCTAATAATATTATAATAGTACATTTTTAAAATTGCAAAATATAACAAATAGATAGCGGAGAGGAGGGGAGACATGGGCTGTTTGTCTATAATGTATATTATATATACATACATACACACGTAATATATAATAATTATGTTGGTAAATTGTATATGGTATACATATTACACTAATAGCATTAAAATTATTTGTATTATATATTATCACAGCGGAAATAGCAAACGGCGGTGGCAACGATTTTGAACGAGTATAAAACTGATTTTTAAATTAAAATCAAGAACGTAGGCAACAGATTATGTTATATAGGTACCTATCTTATAATATGTTACCTTTGATTTTTACTATTAATAAATACTTAAATTGTATTATTTAAATTAAATGTTATATTGTTGCCGCCGGTTTAGCTTGCAGTTATCTTTTCTCTCGACTCGTCATCACTCATCAAATACAATAAATAAAATCTACTTCAAGTAACAACAACAGTCTTTACAACAATTCTATCGTGGTGGTTATCGTTATTATCATTAATATTATTGTCTTCATTTTTACTATTAATGCCAAAATTATTGATAAACTTATTATTACTGTTAAAATGTTTTTCACTACTAACACTATTAATTTGGTTCCGACGGCTACTCGTATTTTGAGTCCTTCTTCTTTTTCGTCGCCTTGTTTTCCTCCACCACCAGTCTTTTTTGTTAAAACTATTATTGTTATTATTACTATATTCAACAGAAGTAATATTGACAGTATCCCTAATGTTACTGTCATCATTGTTAACCATGTTTGCTTGTCTTCGACGCCTAAGACTCCGTTTAACAACATCTGGCCGTAATTTCGTATCGGTAGATTCACTACTGGTATTTTCTTTAGAAATATGATGAGGCTGATAAGTAGACACATTATAGTTGACGTCTGTAGTTGATGATTGATTTGATGCACTGGCAATAGCACTATTATTGCAGTGGTGCACGTTGTAAGAACAACATAGTACTCCGTCCTAAAAATAAACATTGTTTATTATTCACAAACGACAAAATGCAAGTTGGACGTCGCCGACAGATGCTAGTTATTTTGTCGTCATGGATGACATCGTATGCAACCAAAATAAAAATTCTCTGTCGGCGGAAACTAAGTATATATATTAATATATTATATTTATATATATGTTTAACAAAAAAAATCATTTGTGCGCTGTCTAGTAATATTTGCAAGGAGCATCATATACTACAATTTTTTACTGCAAGGTTTTATTTTTACCCCACTTAGTAACCGCGAACGATTATCAAAAATATTTTTAATAAAAAACTCGAGAGCAATTGTGAGTGCATGCGTGCGTGCTTTAAGAACATAACAATTGTTCATTGGTGTAAACATTTTAACGAGAATAACAAATTACACAAGACAATATTACGTGCTACCGGGTAAAATATCGTGCAAACTAAAGTATTAGGTGTGCATGCGTGGTGGCGGTGTTTTTGATGGTTGATATAATATTATGCAGCGACTGCAACGCGCTTGAACGCTGAAACATCGAACGACATCGAAAATATGATTTACGATGAACGGGTTTGAGAAACAAAATCTATAAAAAGCTGATAAATATCGTACAGTAGAAAAGATAATAAATTGATGTAATACATTATAATAGCAGTAGAGAAAGCCGAAATATATAAAGGTTTTATTGGATAAAAAAAAGATGTGAGAGTTTACCGATGCACACAACACGCGATATTGCTCACCGATTGGGCGCAGTACGGCGGCACCTGAATGGAAACACAAAACTTATATTAACACACACACAATCTAATAGAGAAAAAAAAGTCGAAAATATATGATAATACATTTATAGGTAGTTGTGTAAAACAAAAGTGTCTTGTTTCCCGTCTGGGATGAGTATCTTACATTAAACGTTGAACTCGTAAAAAAACACATATTTTGTTAAAATCTCCAAAGGTATTAATTGCAAAAAACTGTTATTGCGCGACGCATCTATAATATTATGTACTAAGTAAGATTCGGTTAAACGTAATAATAGTATATTATTATGTAAATCAGCCAGTCAGCGTTATTAACACGCGTACACATTCATATACATTATACAATATATACACACTATATACATTATACATGCATGACAAAGATACCGAATTGCAAATATATATATTTAGAGGCATATATATATACATAATATAATAAGATTTCTAAGCTGCCCGACACGCATCGGCTATAAAATAAATAATAATGATATTAATATTGTACATATATTCAAAATACGCGCCGTGCGCATACATAAAATGTATATATTTTGTATTATTTTTTTGGCATTACCATAACAGAAGGTATATATGTATAAATGTATAATGTATGTTTATACCATAGAGCATGAATGATATTCTTAGAAAATATGTTATGTACTATATTATATTCTATATAAGTATAGTTATATATATTATGATATTTTATATAGGTAAATGTGTGGAACAAAATATTAATAAATTATGCCCCCAGTTAAAAAAAACCGAACCGATGACATTGTTTAATACTTGCTAATACCTAGTATATTATGTTACACGTTTTGTACAATAGTACCTATACGCATGTATTAAATGGGTAAATTGATTTTATGACTAGGAATGGCGTTGCGTTGTCGTTTACCTTGCAATCGCACGACGTGCACATATCCACCGGATCATCCCAACGGGCTCCCGACTGATAGGCGCGTCCACCGTAAAAACACGGTTGGCCTAAGGGAGACGGCGTAGTGTTATTGCTGTTATTTCTGTTGTCGTTGTCGTCATTGTTTTTACTGTGGTTGTTGTCACCGTCGCCGTCGCCGTCGTCGTCGTCGTCGTCGTCTTCGTCGTTTACTTCGCCACCGGCTCGCCGATAGTCGTCTAGTGGCTGTAGCTGTAGCTGCTGCTGTAGACACGGATCAGCAGCGGCCATTGCAGTCGTGGTCGTCGCTGCCGATGAACCTGATGCAACGGCTTTGGAATCACATCTCGGTGCGCAACAATCGGCTACCGGGTTGTTGTATTCGGCAAACGTGGCTGCCGTGGAGTCCCTACAACTTCCCACTCCCGCGGGCAGCATCGGTGGACACTGCATCGGCCAACAATCCACTTGGCCCATCTGTGCAACAAGGACGGTTTATATATTATATTAGGTTGTGTTGAAGAGACAGCCGTGACGATAGTCAACAATATTTATGTGGTCAAGATATTATCATGCTGGCCGTGGCGTGAATATCGGATTTTATTATAAAAGTACGTGTTTGGAAAATCTATGTAGGCACCTTTCGTCCTTCCCAATATATTTTATTTAGGTATGTACCACAATCTATATGCATCCTGGACTTAGGCATGTGGTATTTGTGATAATCGGGTTATATTGTTGGTCCTAGTGACGGATTTCAATCATTTGGATACATTTTTTAAATTTCCTTATGCGTGATCAGAAGCTTTCAAAAACATATACTATAAATCGTTTAATCTAACTTGTCTGTTAAAGAAAATTGAATTCTTTGGTATACATTTTGTAAAAACGGAACATAAAATGTCATAAACATTATTTCGTTTTTATAAATATGAAACAATTATATTGTGGAAAATAGAAATCATTTCAAATTGCAATACATAATAAACCCGTTTATACGAAACGGAATAGTTGCATTAAAGAAAAAACAAATAACTGAAGATTATTTGATTTGATGAGTTGATTCAGAATATCTCGAAATACTTGTCAAAGTTAAAAAATTGTACCTACAAAGGGAAACATTTTAAAACACTCATTTTACATACATATCCGAGCCCTCCATATGCACAAAGCAACCTAAAAACAATGTTACATATTTTTATTTACTCACTAAACACTCGCATGTCTGGCACTGGTATATCCATTGTTGGCCACTACGGAACCTCACATTCGTCAATTCTTGATGAACGCAGGACGCTTGTGCGTTACAATGAGCACAACAAATCGATTGTACATGGTCGTTGTTTGTGCAATCGCACTCGATTCGTGCGCAACGTAAACGTCCACTTGTACACGTGCAGTTGGTGCATTCTTTTGAGAACCAGGCGCCGTCATTTACTTCTGTCACTGCGTTACTGCCGTCCTTATACAAGCAACCTTCGCGACGCAAGAGAAAATAAATTATAACATATTAACACCTGAGTTTTAATCCCGACAACACGGTTAACCACACATGGTACGATATACCTATCAACTTACTCGATTTACATTTCGAAGAGATGTTGCCGGCATTGTCATAGGTCGTAGGGCATTTGCATTCATACGATCCTACGGTGTTCACGCATGTAGCCGTCGGATGACATGTATGGTTATTAGTCGCGCATTCGTCGATATCTAAACATTATACACAGATCAAAAATATGTCAAAAATAAGTATAGTTTATTTTACATATGTCATAGCTACAGGATTGCATAAATCATGAACACTATACAGTATGTTCCAAAGTATGAGGTTAATTTATTTAATTAATAAATATAAGCACTTTCATGATTTTTTCAACAGTTTTCTATAAGAAAATTCTGTCTGAACAGGATAGATGGTTAAAGAAAGTGATTTAACTTTTGTAATTTTCAAAATAGCCCTTAGTATTATACTATTTAAAAATTCAATACAAAATGACCAAACTAAACCAGTATAATTTGTTGTGATTAATAAAAAAATTATTATTTTGAAATTATAGATATAAATTAACTAGAGCTTAGATGTTTTCAAAAAATTAACTAATTTCAAATGGGACTAAAAGCTCTGATGATACATAAATATTTTTATGGATTATTATAAAAAACTTTTTTAGTGTTAGGTACTACTATAAAGAGTATTTACCACTTTTTAAGAGATTTGTAGACTTGCAGCTTTCAATTTTTTTTTAGTTTTTGATAAAATTCGGTATTTTCCCCTTAAAAGTTTTAGTTATTTGGTTGTAGTGCAAAATTATTAAACATAAAGTGACTCACTTTTCACGATAAGGTGAGTATATATTATTTATGAACAATAAAATTGTCGAAATTCTCAGACAAATTTCAACCAATTTTTAACAGGAATATTTTTTATTTATTTTACCATAAACCTATATACACCACTCTTTGCGTAGGAAGTGTACAACGATATAATATTATAATGATTAATTATGTGACATAGCGATGATTTTGTCTAAAATTAGTTCAAGTTGAACCTACCGCATATCTCATAAAAAAATTAGTTACCTATAGTTATATTATATATACAATTATATTAAAAAATATCCTTTGAAATAGAGTCTGACACATATCTCCATAATTATCTTCATTCAGAATTGTTTTTCGTAGGCAATAGTTAAATTAATCCAAATTTAACACATTTTTTCATTATTTTATATGTATTTACATTAAAATGTTTATGAAGTATTCTGTTTCAGCTTATGCAATTAAAAAATATATGCTGTCATAGTGTCATTTGAAACTCAATAGTTGATGATTGTTTCACAAACAAACTTGAAGTAAAAAAATAAGGTTCTATAAAATATTATAATTGTATTATGTAATATAAATATGCAGAATATAATTCTTAATTTTCTAAAAATTAACTGTTTTGAAAAGTATGATTGTTTTGTTTACTGTAAAGTTAGTTTTTATATAGGTTATAAAAGACATCGAATAATTATATGCTATTACTTTTTATTTATAAGTTATAACTATGTAGGTGTACTGACAAACAGTAGATGGAAGTTATTTGTTAATAAAAAAAACTGTCTTTTATAAAAATTTTGAATAAAAATGTTTAAAAATATCACTGATTAATAAATATTTCTTTTATGATAAAATAAAAAAATTCAACGAGCTTAATAATTATTTTTATTAAATTGATGTTTATTAACCCAGTACTTTCATATAGATTGGTTTTGAATTAAATTTAAATAGATCCATTCACTATGGTGAATGGTGATATTATATAGGATGATTGGTAGCGTTTTATCTATCATTAGTTTCAATTGTAATATCCAATATAAAACAGTAGGTATTCTTAAAATTAATACTCTTATGGACAACAAAGTTTATTTACACATTATAATAATAGGTATAATGTACTGAACAATTGTATAAGGAAAAAGAGTCGTCTCCAGCAGTGGGCGCTCTCAATTTTGATAAACCAACTATAAAAATATAATATCTTACCTTGACACATTGTACCCAACGAAGGCGACCAGGCCGATTCCATCGCGTTCAAGTCACTAGAAGCTGTGGTGGCGATGTCGGCCGAAGCAGGATACATGATCACGTTCTGGTACCCCGGGCTACACGCACAGTAATACCATCCAGCCATATTGACGCACCGAGACGAGGGGCCCAGACATCCATGCGCCCCTGTGGTACACTCATCCACGTCCAGCTCGCAAGCAGGCCCCTCGAACGCGTTGGGGCATGAGCACACATCTGGCCGTGTGCACACACCTCCGTTCAAACACTTTTGGTGGCACACAGCTATAAAATACGCACATCGTACAGACGTAAAATTAGTACTTAATAGGTATACATAGTGCGATCGATTATTATGTCCTTATATTATTAAAGTAAATTTCTGTAGCTGCAAAAGTCTTACATCGAGTAACTCAAGTACTTGTCTATAACTTTTGAAAGCAACGCCAACAGATGTAAGACGTATTTATAAAAACATACGAGCTGAACAAATGAAACGCTTATTTTATAGACAAGAAGAATTAAATTTCCGAGTATAAACACACGGACTGAACTTGTGGGAGGTTTACGTGGTGTATTAGGAACGAAATGATAAAATGCGGACTGTTGTGGTATTAAAACTATGGGCACTCACGTCTGCAAGTATACCCGTCTCCTTCGTAACCGTCAGCGCACTTGCAGCTGTAACTGCCCGGCGAGTTGGCACAAGCGGCGTGTACGTGACACGGTGGTTCTGCGCTGCTGCACTCGTCGACGTCCACACATTCAAACCTGTTGAGACGCGCGTACCCGGTGTTACACTTGCATGCGTACGACCCTGGTGTGTTCACGCAAATAGTAGTGTTGACGTCGCAGTGGTGTCCATTTGGTCCGCCGACGCTCGAGCACTCGTCCACATCTGAACATTTCATTAATTCAAATCGTGTCATTATTAGTTATTAGTATGCTCACACGACGCTAACAAGATGCGTTATTATTAATATTGTTATTAATGTAATAACATAAGTTAACAAGCGGAATTTATTAATACGGTTAGTTACCATCACACTGTAAACCGGTGCCAGCGTACCCAACAGCGCACGCACACTTGTGTGTGGTTTTTAGATTGATACAAGTAGAGTTCGGATGACACAAGTCACGTCCACCTCGTGCACAATAATCGACGCCTGCATAAGCGTTTACATACAAGACACACACATACAAGATTAAGATTATATTAATAATAGGCGTTATGAAAACAATAATTGGGCCTGGAAATCATAATTGATCTAGGCCACTCCCCTCCCGACACCAGCTACTTATTTTAGAAAAATTTTTTGATTGCAATTTGTTATTGTATTTTATTGTTATTTTTTTTTTTAGTACTTCAAAACATATTAATTAACACAACAAACACAATATCATTAACAATTTACAGAACCTGTAGTCCGTCTGAAAAATTGACATTTCCAAACGGGCTACTCTGTCATTGACCACTGTAAATAATTATTTAAGGAAAATTGTTATAATAAAAGCCACATCCAAAAGGGAACATGCGAGTTTAAATGTTTGTTAAATTATGACTGTTAGTACATATTTAGTAAACAATAATATCTATTATTCCATACTAAAATTACACTAATATTTAATAAGAGTAATATTTCGTTGGTTTTGATACCGTCCAACTGTTTTGTTTACATTTTTTAAAAGAATTTATTATTTTATTACAACATGTGTTGTTTACATTCACACATGGTTACGGTAAAATATTGAAGGTTTGAAAACATATTGAGACTAACAGTGTTATAACTTATAATAATGTCAGAGTTCAAAATACTTTTTTTTAAGAAAAATAATTTTTAACAGCCAATGGTTATTATTCAGTTATTACCTATTAATAGTGTGTATAGATAATTTTAGTTAATGGGTACTTCATACTCAAGTTGGCAACGTATTGAAAGCAATATTTACTTCCGAACCCTTAATAATTTTAAACTGTTGGCATATGTGACATATGTGGAAGATTAAATGCACATGTTTTAAGACATGTGTTACTAAGAAGGTTATGCACTTAAACGTATCTTATTTCTTTGTAAGCCACGAACAATATAGGGGGAAAGTATTTTGTATACTATTTTGAAAGTTATATATATTATAGTAGTAGTATAGTAGTACCTGGTATATATAGTAGACTATTGACATTTTACCACAACAATATGGTACATTAGTCCTTAAATTACGTTCATCCCCCTCGAAGAATTTTATTTTTCAAACTTGTATTTCAAATGTTTAAATATTTTATTTATTATACGGTATTGATTTCAGTATAAAAACATAAAATCAAAATAAAACGTTTAAATTGTAAAATAAAAAAACTAACTAGAATTTTTTTGATTGTGAAAAACTGACTTAAATGTGTAGAATAGATATAGAAATAATAATAATTATTATTATACTCAATAATTGTTCATATATTATAAATAATGTTGTCCCTCATGGCCTCATACTATTTGAATAACTAGTTAGGTAATCAAAAATCTTATTATATTTTATGGAGTAGTTTTATTATTATTCTAGGTTTGTAATAGATTTCAATCATATTATTTTGATAATTTTTTGACATAGAAATAAGGGTTAGGAGAACAATGTACATGTTATGGTATCGATATGTATTCTTAAGCTTAACAAACATTTTTTAATGAAATTACATTTGTTTGGACGCGGCTTGTACAAAACAAGGTTAATAATATTATTTATTAACAACACTTATATTAGAATAAAAACGAAGTAAATGGTATTGTTATTTATTCTTACCTGGACAAAATTTGCAACACTGATCGGGTACGGAAAATTGTTCAGATATGTCACATTCCAAGACTGGACATTGAGTTTGTGCGTCTACTCTATCACACTTGACAACTCCATTGAGACAAATGCAGGTTAAGCATGGTTCCAAATTTATAGTGTCACCGTGTTCAAATAATATATCACCTTTAGCTCGGCATGATTCTAAAAATAATAGTCATATTACATTAGCGTTGTAACTTGTAATATATAATTTCAATAATTTTATAAATATTAAATATTGTGTAACATACTTTGACAAGTGTCGCAACATTCACCAGATTTTCGTATTGGGAACTTGCAATCGACTAAGGGACATCTAACCGGTGAACATTCTACTTGACCACGCTAAAAATATGATATTATAATGTTACTCTTCAATCAGTTTAATCGATTTATTATTTCATATATGGATCATCAACATTAATAGTACTTACCAAACATGTACACGTTTGGCATTCATGTTGCCACACTGACCCATCAACTTTCATTACTGTGTTATTACTTCGTTCGTCAAACTGTACGCATGGTTTGCGACATTCACATGTTTCTAATTCAGCAATTCTCATTTCGGCTGCCTCGAGCTATATGTGAAACACATTGATAATTTTCCCCCAACTTTTAAACGATTTTTACGTACCTTGTTACTCAACAAATGCACAATTTTGTTCAGGTTTTCCATCGTTTTTTGCATGGCGATGAATTGGCCGCACGTTGGACATGATGTGTCCAGGTTAGGGCACTGTACACGTTGCCCGTCTGCCCCTCTAATTAACCGGACGTCTTGTAAAAGTCCCTATTAGGAATAGGTTCACTTGGTGATCATTTTTTCGAACTATTTTGGACAATTTTTATTATTTTACAATACCTTGAAAATTGAATGTACTCCTCTGTTGCGTTGGCCTACGTACAGATCTGGCGATCCTAGAAAACTAGTGTCAGCTGGTCCAGCGACCAAAGTGCGCGTGTATACTAGACGGCAGTCTATGAAAAGACGTGCTTGTGTACCGCTCAGTGTTACGGCCACAGCATGCCAATGGCCATCAGCCAGGGAGTACGCAAACACTTCGGTATGAACACGACGGCTACTCTGTGAAACATAGTGCAGCCTCACCTCATCTTTACGTCCACTTGATTCTAATTCCAAATATCTAAATGACAACACCACAATTAGTGTTAATTGATTCTTTTTACTCGTGCTTTTTAGTATTCTCATTATTTTTATTGGTGATACCTGTTGGAGTCGAGGGAAAATGATACTATAGATCCAGTGTTAGCACGTTCTTGACGTACTACTGCAGCTATAGTTAACTCGTCCGCTCCTCGTAATAATTGAATTGCACGTTTGTAAATAATGTCAGGAACTTTTAACTGTCTCAACGTACCTAATTTGTTTAAATAGTATTAATCAATGAAATAGTTCGAATTACTTGTTAATTTATTGTTCAGTATTTAATCAGTTTATTATGGATGTACCTTGCATGCTATATGCTGGCCTTAACCGGTTGGGAGGGAAAACATCGGGATTAGAAAATTCATCTTCTGATACAGCCACGAGTAGGACTCCCAATGTAAAACCAGTAGTATCACTTTTATTACTACCACTGTAATGATGTTGATAATTGTGGTATATTTGCATAGTAGCTTCAAGCAAATCCAAAATGGCCAATGGTGAATTAGCTTCGTTTACAGCGAAATAATTGATATTATTTTGGGAAGGTGATGATGCTATATATAAATTTAAAAGAAAATAGTTTTATTAACTATTTAGTAGTACAAATAATAAATACATATATATTATAGTATGTTTTATGTATAAAGCTCAGTTATTCAGTTTAATTTAATTTATAAAATATGTCTCTATTGCAGTTTCTGTAACATTTACTTTTCCGCTTAAAAAAGTTTTAAAAAGTAATTTTAAATTTAAGTTTAGATTAGAACATAACTAATAATGCTATGTCTGGAATATTGACGTCACTTAAATGAAGGCGAAACATAATATTTAAATTTAAAACGGAAACCGACTTATTTGGCTTGAATTTTTTTTTCTTTATTCGATTTTTAATATTTTGGCTGTAAAATCATTAATTAACTTAATTAATTAATTAAGCAACTTAAAATTTAAAAAAAATGTAATTGTATTTGGTGGATTTGTATTATTTTACATGTTAGTAAATGTTCACGAAAAACCAAATCATTGTTACTATAGATTACTTATAGATAATAATATCAATAAATAATAACAATAATTGGTATATTAGTACCTACGTATACCTATTATAGACTAATATAAGTAGATTATTGATCAGCGAAAATAAATTAAGTTAATTTTTATAAAACTCTATTTATAATTTTCAGACTAATAGGTAATTTCATAGTATTATTTTTTTATAGATATGTGAAATTACCTATACTTATAACAGATATTTCATTCGGTTTTAAATATATTTTTTAAATTCAGAAAATTAAAGTCCAAAGTGACTTCTCACATATAGGTAGTTGTGTTTCATTTGTGTAACTAAATCTTATTAAAACATTTCAAATGTAGTAAAATATGCTAGTAAATCTACTGATGAAATAAATAAAACTAAACATTTTTCTTTTGTATAAATAGCATTTATCTGTTCATATTATGATTTTTAACAAATCAAAATAATATAAATAGGTATTAATATGCACAATCAATAAAAAGAATAATAAACGTGTGCCTTTTACAGTTGAACAATTTTTGAAATACATTTTATATACCTAGTGTATGTGTTCCTCTATACAAATATTATTAATTTCTTAACATTTACGATTAAAGCTTATTTTAAGAACATAAAACTATTTTCCATATTATGTTTGATTGGGGTTCGATTTGGATAGACTTAGTCAATAAATTATTCTTATGCACGCTAACGTAATTAATGGTTTTTATTTCATTTTAAAAACAATTTTGAGAGCATAATAGTGTTAAAATTATAAATATTTTATTGATATAATGATTTTAAATAGATTTAAAAAATAAATAGGCATTTGAACATTTCAAAATTTCAAAATATAAATGAATTTATTTGAATATTATTAAGTTCTCTGTAGTGGGAGTAAAGTAAGATTTATAGAAAACGCAAATCTCCATAATTAAAGTATTATTTTAGTTGTATTAATAGTTTGGTATAGTCGTATAAATTATAATGATTAATGAATCAGTGACCATTCTATAGTATATTTATGTTTTAAATGGAAGTATAATGTAGTTTGTAGTTCTTAGATAAAAAAAATTACAAAATATATACACATAAATTGTATAATATATGACATAGCCATAGGTAATAAAAGAATAGAGGAAACTTTTAGAACATTTTTAGTATGCTGAAACGTACTTAAAAATACATTATTGTAAAATCAATAGTTTCCTAGTTACATTTGAGATATAAAAACTATTTTGAAGGATTTTTTGCCTGTGCGTGTACTTTCTGATACATTATACTACAAATTACAATTTAAGTACTTATAATTTATAGCATATAGTGACGTTGCGATTAAAAATTATTTATCTACATAAATCACTCTGAAAAAGCAAATATTATTTTATATTTTTATTTAATTAAATTATTTTATGTCAAAAAAAATTGTTTTAAAAGGATATTAAAAATCAAATTAGTTCGAATATGTACATTGAAATTTAAAATTTAAAATAAGATACTATTTTATACTTCATCACGAATAGTTAGAGGCATTAGAGCATTAAGATTTTAATTTAGAGTTAAAGAATTATTTACTATAGTAATACTATATATTGTATAATGCAATTTATAAACTTTTCTGAATATATTACAAATGATATTTTTTCTCAATGGAATATATGACAAAAAAGTTGTACAAATGTGGTATTTATATAAATTATATTTGATACAAAATATGTATAATAATTATGAGAAACTCTAAGACAATTGAGAGATAGTTGAATTTCAATAAAAATATGCACTTCGAACTCTCTCCTCGCTATTTATTTAACCATTGCGTATAAATAAATAAAATTATAAATGTATCTACTGTCAAATTTAACTCTGTAAATATGTTATGCTTATTCTATTTTTATTTATTGTAAATTTTACGAAATTTAATGCAAGGTGAATTATATTTTAGTAGATATTATTAGTTTCATTTTATCATTAAAAAGATGCTATACCATGTGTGTTGCCCCCAACGTTGAAACGTATAGTAGTGTAATAAGTACACAGATAATTAATGTTCAGCAGAACCAATTTTGTATTATTAGCTTTAATATATAAGAGTGAATTCGTCAATTACTACACAATGGACATTATTTGTTGATTTTTCCCCCGATATTAAAATTTTTAAGGGATTTATCACTTATAAGAAGTTTTATATTGTAATATTTTAGAAACCTACTAAAAATTCATTAAAAATGAAAAGTATTAAAATTCTTAAAAATCAAACACAGATAATGTTCTTATCACCTCAAAATCGTATCACTTTATAGGTCAATTCACTCTTATATTCAAGCTATTAACGCAAAATTATCTACACCATAAACACAAATTTTCTATACGTTGCACGTTTGTAAGATGAAGATCACGTCGTGCGAGTGTATCGTTTATATAGTGTACCTCAATAACAGTATAATATACAAACTACATACAATAATAAGTCTATACGTTCTAAAATGCTTAATAGATAAATTAAATGTAACATTGGGTAAATTATTTATTAATTGAATTATAAAATGTTATTTGTTTTAAAATTAAATTGAAAAGGACATTGCATTATAGTCTATAATTTCTGGTCTCTGTCTTACAAACATATATATTATACCTTGACTCGTATTTAATGTAAGATAATTTTTATTTATTCATTAATAATTAACTTTTAGTCGACGTTATTGTTTATTATTTTTTAGCTTAAGCTAATAACTAGCGATATTTTAATATTATTAGTAGATATTTTGAAATCTAGTTGAATAAAACAAAGTATAATAATATTATCATCCTTATTTAACAGTAGTAGATCATAATCAAATCAATCACTAACTTACATATTTGGAAATACAACAAAAAATATCGTGCACGACTAGGGTGGTAAATTTAATTTAATATTTTAATGCGGCATACTCTTAATCATATGGAAACAAACAAGTATATAGTAGTGTAGTATTGTTTAAGTTAATGACTATTATATAATTGAAGCTTAGTTAACATGAAAAGAATCTTATATACAAATAGAATAAAAAGTAAATTACGATTGTATGTTATCTCTTACTATTGGTCCTTGTAAAATAATTTCGTTGATCTTTTGTTTATTGGGTATTGAATACTGATATTAATTTTCAGTTTTTAATACTATAAAGATAAACTACTCAATGATAAAATTTGTTTTCCATAAATCATTCCTATGGGTTAACCCATATGTATTCAAATATACATTCGAGATTGCCATTATCAAATCAACCATTATTATATACTTAGGTATAATATGATTATAAACTATATAATATGATATTTATCTGTCTTAGATAGCAGTAAACATTATTTTACTGTTATATAAATAATAATAAATATTTTTAGGTCTAAAAGAAATAACAAAACAGATATTATAGTGTATAAGTAAACTTAACATTAATGATTAATATCCATATTTTGTCACGATCAATATGTATTGGCTATAATGAATAAAACATAATGTTAAGTTTAAATCCTTAATATTAATTCATTATATTATGGCTTGTAAGATTTTTAAAAAGCAATACAATTATATTTATGTAGGGATGTGTTAGTAATGGAAGCAGGAGATTACCCCATAGCACCACCGCTGTACGATAAACGTAAATAATTGTTACACGCGGTATGCTGCCATGCTGGTCATAAATTTAAAATTTATGACGTATTAATAAAATATTAATCATCTTTAATAGTTATATTGATAACTAATTTTGGTTGTTAATTTAATTGAATTAGTAAGCAAATCTAGCTTATTACATCGAGTGCCTAATAAATATAATATGGTTTTATACGCATAAATATATTATACATAATACATAGGTACAGCGTACAACAGTTTCAATATTTTATGAAGGTAATATAATATTCTATAATATTCTGTTCAATTTGTTGTATGATTATCATCATTATTTATTAACAAAATAATAGTATTACATTACAGACTAATGGTTTTATTGTTTGTGATTGAACCCAAAATGATTTAGTACCTATCTAATGCATTACACGTATATAATATTAACATTGGACGTATTCAGGTATCAGCGGAATATTTTGGGTTCAATGACCCCGGATTTTTTGTTTGTACATCTTTATTATTTATAAGAACTCTCCCCATAATAGTGCGTGTTGGTAGCCAGTAGGTACATACCTTTTTACTTATAATGTTTTAATATAACAATGTATAGCACCTTGTTTTTCCGTATTTTTTATTGTGAAAACTGTTTCTCATAAATGTTAATTGTCCGAACATTTTTTACGATTTTATAGATATTCAAAAATCTAACCTAAAAAAGAAAGTACCTACACCTGTTATGCATAGCTAAGAAGCTCGGAAAGATACACGCGATAAAGCACTAAAACTGAGTAAAGCATCATCAGTAGTAGACTAAATATTCAGATAACCCTGCATGCCCTATCTTCACTATCACTTTAATAGTATTATAATAATTTATTGGCCATCAGATATAAAATATCGTACCATTCGGTACCATTTTGTCGAGTACTATTTTAGCTATTAATCAATTCCTGCACCCTCGTATTCTTCAAATACACCCCTTTTTTCTACATTATATTGTCTCAGAGGAACAAAACTTTTTGTTACTTATACTATACGCGAGATATGAACGAATGCATGTGTAACAATATTAAATAGTTATGAAAATAATTCTTAAAAGTGGGTACAAGTATAATTAGTAATCACGCACGTGTATATCGTCATTGTTGTCATTATATAAAAGTTTATCGAACTCATGATGAGCTACGCATATTTTTTTTATTAGGATTGAATAATTCGCAGTATTATCCTATAGTGAAAAAACCGCAGTCGATTATTAATTTATATTATGTTTTCGAGAAATTAATGTCGTCATCAGCAGCGTTTAGCCCGATTGAAATCGCAGCATTTGTAAATAATATTATATAAAACGGCGCGTGGCTCAAATTTTAGGCTCTCAACCTTTTCTCACACTCATTTAAATATGTCATAGATGTTACGTAATAAATGTAGAGTTTTCGACACGTAGTGGTGTTTTGTAAAAAATTAACCTAATTTTAGTGAATATAAAAGTATCATCATTAATAATTATAATGTCTAATATAATATGAATACCTAATCAATACAAATTAGTAATATTCATTAAGTACAATAAATTTACAAAATATCATGTGTATAATTTATTAAATAATATTTTATAGGTTTAAACAAATTGTATAAAGCTAGGTGTATCCATGCACCTTGTTTACGCAAAGCCTCCTCTGCTGTCGAAGAATCAGGGGGAGAAAAGGTGTATCCATGCAATTTACATATTTATAGTAATTTAAATGAAAATGCATATTGCATATATATTATTAATTGTTTTGATTTTAATGTAACTAATTTTAAACGTACCTACCGAAAAGGCTGTTGACATGTTCTGCATTTAAAAAAATAAGCTAAAACGCAACTATAATTTTAGATTAAATGAAAAAAACCGATGACGAAGTTTGAGAGGAAAGAACTTTTTTTGACTACTAAAAACCAAAAACTATCGTATAATTAAAAATAAATAAAATGTTTTCGGTTAATCTTAAAATAAATAATATTTTAACTTTTATGACATTTTCTAAATTATTAATATTTCATTCATCATTAAATTCGTATCGCTCAACATCATCGACGCCAAGTTACAGCCAAATTGTATAAGACACACTACTTAAAAATAGTTTATTATCTGTTAAACAAAAATATATATTTCTATGTCTTGTTCGCGTGCCACATGTACCACAACCACTCCACAGTACAACTGTTGGTGTATAATAACGACGACATGTGTACTATATAATGACAATTAATGATGCTTCAGGCACTAGACACACACACTCGTATCACGTTACCAAAAACGGGAAAATAACATTAAATATGTACTTTTGGGGGGTTTCACACGGCTGACCAACGTTGACAGCAGTACAGCACGTGTCTTTAATTATTATTACCGTCAAGTGGCGTAGAAGAAATGGTCTGTGAGAGGTATAAAGAAAAGAAGGCAATGTGTGTGCGTTCATGTGCATTGAGATGTGATATGATGATGGTGCGAAGAGACACGGTAAATTAACAGCTGGTCAGTCAGTGACACACGATAGTGTGTGTTCATAACTATCAGTAATGGCAACGAACCAAATACCCACCGATATTAAGATATTAAAGTAATTTTTGAAACGTTAAACGTTATTTATTCGTGAAATTTATTACGTCTACAAGGATGTTTATAAATGACGTTTCTATTTCGATAACATGGATGTATATAATATGTCTACGGTAGGATTTATCTTTTAAAAAACATTTTCATTTTCCGTTTGTATAAAATTAAAAATATAAAGGACAAAAAAACAAAAAAGAATAGTATTATATCCTACGTGGTGCATGTAAGTATGAGACATTAAATTTTATATTATTACGGCGACAGACGATGCTAATATGCTATAATACATGTACCACTACAGTAATGTGTCAGCGGTTATATTATTCACTGCCATCGCTCGTACTCATAGTAAAAAATATATTACAGACGTAGCAGTAATAATTAGTATCAGATGGTCGCCGAGTAAAATAGAGACAAATTAATATAAAATGTGTATACAATTTTGGTTTGACACTCACCCTCTGAGCAGTTTTGGATATTTCTGTTCATATGGAAATAAATAAAAAGAGAGAAGTGCGTTTTACTTAAACTTGTTTGCGGTCATCCGACAATACATTAATATTATATAGAATTATTATAAATAAAATTGTGTTAGTTATTCTTCTCAGTTTTCAATGACTACCTACCGAGATTAAGAAAAATAAAGTAAAATAATGTTTTAACTGAAGTTGGGTGGGCCGCTGTAACGTGAGTCTTTATAGCAAATTAAGTCTTATTAAAAAACGATTCTAAGCGGAACACTTTTACCAAAAAATGGTCAAAATTATAATAATACTGCGCTTGTTCATATATTTTTCTTCGTTATTTCATCTTTATTACATGTTTCTTCAAAACTGCTGATGTGTTATATAGAAGCTTTTATAATCTCTTTTAAATACGAGTATCATCCATGATGGACCACCTATTGAATTTTCAATCTATATAGAGTTGAAATATAATACCTTTTATTACTATTATTACCCGAAAAATATTTTATAAAAATACCCAGGAAAGAAAGAAATTAAAAATGAACCCATAGTTATTGCGAAATCTGTAAAAGAAAATGAGAACTGGTTGTAGACAAATATTGTAAATATGATAAAAAGGTCAATGTAATTAACATTATAATATATTGTGTCTGCAATAGACTCACGTTAGCTTAAGATAATGATGGTAGACTATTTCTATAATTTATGTATTTTTTAATTCAGCGTGTCTAGAGTAAAAAAATAAAAATAAAAAAATAAATAAACAGTGACGTCTGAGGACGACACAGTGGCTTATTGAAATATGCACGTCTTGGCAAATGATGACACAAATTTTTTTCGTTCAACTAAATATAATAATATCTCATTTACGTTTATCGTAAATGTGATACCTATACACATATTAACATTCGGGCTTACAGTAATAATCGATTTCACGTGGTCGTAAGTAATTAACGTTAATTCGACTATAATTTAAACACGATCGGTTTGTTGTTTTCCCTTTCGTAATATATACTTAAAACGAAAGATTACCTGAAGGAGTTAATCCGCCTTTCGTTGGTGTTTGTAATAGCTTCTGTGCTGTCGATATCCGTGGTGTTAATACCGCGAGCGCCAACAACACAGCAGCCACTACCGTAGTAGGCCGCCGTCGCCACTGCACCCGACTGCAGGTATATAGCATAATATCGCAGCGGCCGCAAAAATGTTGCTGTTTCGTTTGTTTGTATGTTTTGCTACTAACGATCAATCATTGATTGAGAGTGATAGTGGGTGGCTACCACTGAGTTTTGTTTCTTCGACAGCAATCTGTAAGGTAAAAACACAAAAACACATTTTCACCGTCAATGTTAGGAATATATTATTATCTTTTCCTTTTTTATAATTACAATACAATATAAATTCTCGTATGTGAAAAACAATATTGAGTGCTCGTGCATATGCTACTGTTATATTCATGTGACTTTTCGGTTAGTGAACAGTCGGAAGTAACGGCCAATTTCCAAATAAAATATTTAACAAACACTCGACCACCGCAGCCCGCCACATAAATTCGCGTTCGCTTTCACCGCCACCACCGTTATAGCTGACCGACCGTTCCGGGACATCACCCCCTACCCCTTAAGTCATTCTCCAAAAAGGTTGTTCGTGAAATAATTTTACTAGCGACAAAAAAATTGATTTTTTTTTTAAATTAATTACGTCTAGACTAGGATGTTTATTCTGTAGACTAGCGGTTTTCGAGTATTTTTTGGTATATGATACATTGGTATTGCATAATTAAATACGAGAAGACCGAAATATTATTGGTTTTCGGGTTCATGAATCATGGTGGGATGTATTAGCTTATTAGAAACAAATAACGTACCTACCTATTTACGATTAATGTTTTTATTGCATGTTCATGGGCCATTAATACGGTTTTCCAAAATCGAAAACCATCGTATTACCAATATAGAAAACCGATGGCCTATAAACTTTAACAAATGCACTACGACTCCGTTAATAAATGATATTCGAATAATAACTACCTTGATATTTAAACTAGTAATGAATATTTAAAAAAATATCAATTTATCTTTAAAAATTATACTTGTAAATTGTAGTTAAATAATAACTCGAAAACCTATCAGAAATGAAACGCCGCACCCATTGAATTTATTATATCGGCGGTGACTTTTTGTCACGGGATGGTATAGACAAGTTTAATGTAAAATCGATGGAAGTACTATAATGGACATTATTATTATATAATTAATAGCCCAGACGAATGAAAGTACAATAGTATGGGTAGGCAGGAAATATAAGTTCTTGAATATCAAAAAAACGGTTGAAATTCGTAGACGTATCGAATAGTATAGTACTAAAAATAAATTGATGTAACAAGAATTTAAACTAGTAGTTACTCGTAAACTATTGAAATCAATAAAATAAAAGATCGACTGTCGGTTTATAGAAACGCGAACAATTTCAAAATTTCAACTTTTCGTTTAGGTTTCAGGTGTGCAAAAAAGACTCCTTCGGTACCTACCTGCAGCAGTGGCCGGATAAAAGTGTTCAAGACCATACAAAACCGTGTTTCCTATCGCACCCCTCTAACACAGGTATACCTATATTATTTCTATCGCGAGCTGCACGAAGACAATATAACACCCAGTCATAGAAATCCGACATCACGCCTACGCGCGGGTGTCGCACCGAGGGTCGGAAAGTACCCACACCGCGATGACGTGCGATTTGTACCTATCAAGCGCACCCACCACCGGGTATACCCGCGTAATAATAATAAAATAACGATAATAACCAGTGTCGGCCGTGTAGGACGGTGGAATTATATTGGCGCAGGGGGACGCGCTTGCACACATCGGAGCGAGTGCGTTGTACTCGGTATAATAATAATGTGCGTATTACGGCACAGTGGCCGAGGTGGGCATTATTATACAAACGACAACTGTAATAATATATGATATGGTAACGTACACAGGTCCTCCGTCTTTGGTCTGTCATACACGTAATATTGAATTAGACGTGTAGGTATATGGTAATCGCGTGTGTACCTACCGACCTACCTATACACGGTTACACGTCCGGAGAATCGCGTCCGAGTATTTTTTTTTATCGGTGAAACGGCGGTGGTATGGAAACGAGAGGGCACCGAAGACGACACATAATATAATATTAGGTAACAAATAATAATGATAAATATTGTAGAGCGCCGGAGTGGTTCGAGAGTGACATTGTGTACGTATATAGGTTACATGTAACGACAAAATTATACCGTTTACAGGTGATAGGTACAAATAACGAATAACAGGTACCGCCTAATGTTATGATAATATAATGGTAATGTTGTGTATACGTACATGCGAAAAACGGAATCGGATGCAATAATTACTTTTTCCGTTGTTATTATCAGCAACACGATAACGACTGATGCATCGGGTGGTGTTGCTGGTGCTGGCGCATTTTTATCACCACCGTAACTATCGATCCGGAAGACACCACGTGCTGCAGCCACTGCCGTCTTAACCGTCCGACCCGATCCAAGCAGTCCATGCGTATCGTCGTACACATAGCACCAATCGAGAATGCAGGCCGCAGTGGTGCACGCGATCTATATATATGCGCTATATATCGCTATACCTTTCGACGATGCACCGCTCACGCCGCCGCTCTCGAATTTTTCGCGCGGACCGATATCGTTATCCGCTACAATGTATTATACATATAATGTTATTAAAATATGTATCGTATATCGGTATGTAAAACAGTTATATACCTAAAGCGTCGAGACTTAACGAATATTGAAAAATTTCGAACAAAAAAAAAACCCCCCAAAAAAACGTAAAACCGCGAAATTCGAGACGCGTGCGGACGTTCTAATGTTTATTATTGTCGCGACCATACGCGTATATATTTATATATATATATGTATTACACTCGCGCGCGAACTCGATCCGTACAACTAGTAACGACTATAGTGACCGTACTACAGTATAAACGGACATGAGTAGTCGTACACAGTAAAGCCGTATCAATTGACGTACGTCGTCGCCCGCTATTAATTCGCGTGTAATGTCCAATTTAAAAATAACGATTTTAATGTGGCCGCGAAAAACGGAAGACGAGACAGCGCGACAACAGTATAATATTGTGCAGTAACGACACGACACGTCCGTCCGTCTTATATTAATATAATATTATTATTGAGTACAAAATATAAATAATACATGCATATTACGAGTATATGGAATAATATAATATAGTCACCCCGTTGCTTCAGGTCGACGTCGGGGTACTGCACCGTGGCCCGCGGTCGTGCACGCGAGCAGTGGTCGGCGGACTGACTGACTGACTGACTGATTGACTGACTGTGACCGACCGAGCCGACTGGAAAACGAGTGGCACGCGCGCGAACGCCTATGCGTGTAATTATTATGCCACCGCGGTGGTGTCGGCCGTGGACTCTATATAGTCGTAGTGCCGTGGAAGAGATACGCACACTCACAAAAATGAATATATATATATATAATATGTGTGTGTGTGTGTGTGTGTGTGTGTGTGTGTGTGTAAAATGAAAACGCTTACGCGGCTCGTTTAGATTTAAAAAAAAAAAATAATAATAATTTTTCACTGTCTCGACTCTCCGATGTCTGCTGCGTCTATGCGCGCGTGTGTTCGAGTGTACGTGTGCGCGCGCGTTGCGTGCCGTCGCCGGTATGGTGCCGGTTGGGTGCTGCTGTCGCCGCCGCCGCTGCTGTCGTCGTCGTCGCCGTGGTCGCCGTGATCGTGGTCGTCGCTGTCGTCGTGGTCGTGATCGTGGTCGAGACGACACTGCCGTTGCCGCCGCCACCGTCAGGCTACTCGACTCGGTTCGTACACCGGCGGCGTGTGCCAAAAAAAAAAAAAAGAGAGAAATAAAAAGGAAAAAAAAAACTGAAACGATTATTGTGCGGCGGGGATCCCTCCACCACCCCGTCACACCCCCGCCACGGCCGATCCCACCCCTTCCCCATCATACACACACACACACACACACACCGTCATCTCCGCCGCCGCAGCCGCCACCCACCGCCGCCCCCGCGCCCGTACCGGCCGACCCGGAGCCGGCGGTCGCGCGCACAGCTGTATACGTACGCGCTCACCCGTCCGACGGCGGCTGCCAACGACGTCTACGGCAGTAAGGGGCGGTGAGGTTACGTAGGGGAGGTGGGGATGGTGTATAATATAATCCCTCCGCTCTGCCGCCGACACGGACCGTTGACACCACCACCGCCGACACCGCCGCCACCGCCGCCGCCAGTCCGCCCCGCTTTGTCGCTCGGGTATATACACCATACGCGCCGTCGTCCATCCGTCCGTCTTCCGCGCTCTTCCGCTGCCGTGCGCGGCGCGCGCGACACCTACCCGTCCACCACCCTCCCCTCCCCTAAATCGTTACAAAACACATGCGCGCCCCGCAGCAGGGACAAACTCACTCTCACCGCCGCCACACGTTTTCCGCGTACACAGGGAGCAGTGGCGGCGGATTTGGAGGTGAAGCGGCCGTGGCGGCGGCGGCTTGTCTCTGTACGCCGCCGTTATCGGCGACCGTCTCGCATGCGCTTCAGTCTCTGCATACATATATATATATATACACTGTGCAGAGAGAGCCCAACGCCACACACAATATTATATATTATATGCACGCGGTCACCGTGTATTATAAATATTATTATTATTGTTGTATTGTGATTTGTGACCTGCGATCGCGGAGGACCTTTTCCGGAGGACCTTTTTACAAACATTCGCACATTTTTTTGCGCATAGCGATTCATTTCCGATTGTATCGATTGTGTCGGTCGTTGTGTGGGCTATGCGGACAATTTTTAATACCATCGATTTTTAATGGCCAACGTATAATGCATAGCGACGTCGCCGGGCGTGCATTATAATGCGTCATATCGTAAAAATTCGAATCGCTCTGGTGCAAGCTGCGGGGGGCCTGGCCATCCCAAAAAAAAAATTCCCGGAAGTCGCTGGCGGATACCTGCAATGCGCACCACCACAATAATAATGTATTATATTATTATGCCGATACCTAAACCACTCTTGTGGGGACGGTACAAAGCCAATATCGAAAACAACCTCACCATTTATCTGAACTCCACAGAATATTTATAATATCATATTATTATTGATGCACACCACTACACTTCAGTATATACACAACAAACCACACGTGGACGACGGCCGATAAATACAGCTCGTACTAAATATTATAATAAAAATAATAATATCATGATGATGATGGTAGTGATGACGATGATGATGACGTCGCTTTATTATATCTCAAACCGATTGATGTGAGTCGCGGACACACCACCGATTGAAGCGACCCGTCTTCGTCGCAATAATAATATTATTTACATCGTAAGTATAAAAATGATTAATAAATATATCATTCGGCCGTCGCCGTTAGCGCCCACGCTCGAGGCGCGATTCATTTCATAATCGTCTGAATAGTACATCTCTGTGTGTACGAGCATTTCCGATTCCATTAATTCGACGATGTTTACACCATTGAACCCACTCGTCATCACAGACACACACGGGGCAGATGACGTTTTTGGACGAGCACGAGCCACACAGAGCTGTAGTTGTGTGCTTGCGTGTGCTGTCTTCTTTATATTATTATATTTTCTATTATATACAACACAGCCTCGGTTGTTTAGCCGACAAAACGACAAACAATAATCGTTATCATTGTATATTATGTAGCGGCGGCGACCAAGACACTACGCTATTATATGAGATTTTGTGTTTATGAATACAGATCAAGTATGATGGGTTCGTCAATAGATTATTATTTTATTATAACGATTTTACGGTTTAGTGGTTTTTATTTCGTTTTCCGTCTTAAATCGGAAATAATGTGGAGTGTGCTTTGGTAATAATGGAAACCGATACGATTATGCAGTGTGTGTATACACTAAACATTTGCATAATATTCGACGTATGTGTATATAATATCATAAACATATTTATTGTGCAGGTTATTGTCTCGTACCTATACGTGACGTAAAATAAACTAAACTTTAGTGAAATCCTATTTCGAAATTGCGTTATAGCCTATCTACATTATTTCTGTGCGACGCATGTATATAAATATAATACATAATATTAAATCAAGTACTTAGTGCGATCATTTCAAATCCAGTATTTTCCAAGGGTGTGTGTTATAAATTATATTATTATATTGCACACCGAGTGTATAATATTTAGAATAAAGTGATTTATGTTTCAAAAGGCTTGTGTATATAATAATAAATTAATTTATATATTACTCTATCTGATGAGTAATGGACTCTTATACTTTTTACAGAAACGTTATTTTATATTTTTCTTCAAAATGTGTTGTTATATTGAATTTCTGAGCCCGGGTACAAAAATTAATATTCTATTTCCACTTCAACAGATTTATAGGTCACAAGTCACAACTCACAATGGAATAAACTGTTCAAATATTTTTGAAAATAAATACTAAAATGTTTGGTATTTATTTCCGTGATAATAATATACACCGAGATACAATGGTTTGGGTTTATATTTTAATATTTAACAATAAAAATAAAAGTATAAATAACTGATTTGCTATTATACTGCTGTGTATTTTTGCATCAAATAAGCGCAAATGCCAAGGGTCTAACTGACTAGGGGTGTCTAAAATCTCAGACTTTTTATAGCGACCTTTTGTACACTTATTATTTTTTCAGAATTCAGATATAGTTGCAGACAGTAGGCAATATAATATTATATATATGTAAATTATACGGTTCTATAACATTCAACTTTCAAATCGGACGTTGATTAAGTATGAAATATGTGATACTATACGATGAACGTTAAAAATATGAACAAACAAATTGATACCCTGGGAGAAAAGGTCCAGAATATCCCCCCCAATCAAAAAGTAAAAATAACAAAACTTACCAAAGAAATTGTTAAGTCACTTCCACAAAAAAAAAATCAAAACCGCAAATAGTTTTATATATATATTAAATATTTATAATTAGACTCTGAGAAGCATTGAAAACTTTTTTTAGATATAATTTGCAACAATATAATATATTTAAATTTGAATAGTGTAATTAATTGTATTAAATAAATTCTTTTTAAAATTAATTATGCAATGTGTAGAGTATACCTATATTTTATTAATTTTTAACAATTTATATTAGAACAATAATAAGAATTGTGAATGAATTATGAATAAGATATAATAATATTATATACTATTAAAGTCTAAAGGTATAAATCATTATAGAGGTTGGGCCCCTTCTGTTTTCTCGTTTTCCTGTATAATACTATGATATTTATGCTGGAAAGCGGGAAATATGGCGGCCGTCCCTTTCATTTAAAACTTGATATATGTATAGAAATTCGAATGCCAGTCCCATTTCAATAAGCGTGTATACTCATTTATTTATAAACGCGTTATATTAGTACCAATATTGTGCTATTTTAAATTACTGAAACCCGATTTTAAATAATTCAATGAGATTATATAGTAGTAAGCGGAGGCGTATTTACATTTATGGTTCTCTCTTCCCCAGGGCCTCAGTATAATACCACACATGATCCCTCTTTTAATATAAAACCAACGACGTAAATGTTGAACGTAAAACTGTTTTGCTGGCTCAAATACAATTTGTGCTCGATGAATACGTTCTTTTTGTTCCTGACTATTATAATAATATATACGTATAATACTGACTACTGTAACAACTACACATTTTTAATTTTTGATAAAAAAAAAAACAGTTTTAATTTAATATTCCGAACAAATCCAACTAGCTACTTTAATTATAATATCAATAAAAATTGTTCAACCATATTCATATGGATGTATTCAAAATATTTGTGATTATGGAAAATTTTGCAACGTTTTATTTTTCATGTTTCTTAGTAAACATTTATATCAACGTTATGGGGCACGAGCCACACATGCATGTGTGTATTTATATATGTACGAGTAGGTACCTATCTACCATATTACTTAGTAATTTAGCAACCTAAACATATTAAATGATAAATAATAATGTAACAACTAACAACACAGCACCCTACCCACATCATATTATTATCATCTTTATTTAACGAATTTTAAATTATGCTATTGTAGTATAATATGATATAGGTACGATCTTCATTAACAATATAATATTAATTTGTTCTTAATAACAATTGAGAACTTATTATTTAATTTATTAACCATTGTATTTTCAAGCACTCGAAAAATATTATTTTTTGTACATTTTGGTTTTACGGGAATATCTCAAGTACAAAATATATGACTATAATGTAAACCAACTTTTTTCTATCTGTGTACATTAGCAACCAGCTAATAATCATTGTAACCCCCCTATAAAACATCTATATGATAGTTTGTTGTCATCTGCTGTTGTTGTTTTATTCGGTTACGATTCAGTAAACACAAAATACAGCTAGTGGGGAGTGAAAAACAATACCTATCTAGTACCTACAACTTACATGCCTTAATAAAATATTGTTCATAAATTGTAATAATGAAAGAAAAACACGAAAGAAATAAAAATTAAAAATACACATTAAAATATATGTACATTATAATACTGTTATGTATTTTAATATTAACACTGCAGTAGGTATAACTGTATAGGCAATAGGCATATGCCATATTATGGGTGATATCGCAGGATTTTTTTTTATTGAAGTCGTAAAACAATAAATGAATTTTTTTTTAATTCAGATATAATATTATCGCATCTTAATTCTTATATTTGAATTTGGTGTTCACAGTAAACCTCTGTTGTAAATTAATAAACTATTATTATCATAATTTACAACCTATA